ACTAGAGGATGTGGGGACTAAGTCATATTGCTGTTGGGTTTTCTTTTTTTCTTTTTTTTTGGTGTGTGTTGTGCTTTTTAAAATCAATGATAGAATCAAACTATAATTTTTTATCACCCTGAAGGATCTTGGTGCCCTAAGGCACTGCTGACTTCAGTTAGTAGCACAAATTGATTTATGTGGTATCTCCATCTAGTTACTCAATATGTCCATTCCTATCTGAAGCTGGAGGTCTCAGCTCCAGTGTTAAATGAAATGAAAAGTCCATCCATCTAAAGCATCTTAAATCTAACCCTTTGCTTTGTACTCATTCCTGGTCCTCCCATTGGTCTCACAGATATCCAGGCCTACAGCAGGGAGGTCCCCTTCAAATTAACTAATGTTTTCTCACCCCAAAAACCTTGTAATCAGCAGCCTTGTTCTTGCCTCTTCTTTATGCCACCTCCAAAACTTGCTCGCTTGCTAAAACTTTGGCCTCTGCCTTCACAGTGCTTTGCATCAAGTGTGTTAGTTTATTCCCATTTGATTTTACAAGCCTCCCTTACAGACTACTAAAACTACCATGGACTAAATCATCCACCTCGTCCACAGCACTGATTGCACCAGCTCAGCTCAGTAAAGCTCTGTAAAACTTAACCTATCCTAAAATGATACGCTGTCTCCTCTTTTGCTAGGAGGAGCACTGTTGTATTCCAGCTGCCATCCCATCTATCAATCACCATACTGCTTCAGGGCCTACCTTGTACACTGCTGTCTTGATCCAGCTGTTATGAACTCCTCCTGTCACAAATATCTCATCACTTTTCTCATCATAACTCCTATCTCCTCCTTCCGCTGGAGGCCCTTGAGGATACCTACTCCTCCTCAGGATTTACTTCAGCTGGCTTGGAAGCATAGGCCCTCTTTCCCCAGCTAATGATTTTTTCTTCATTGTGCTATAATTGTAATACAGTAATGAATACACGCGTGTGTGTTTTAAAGGAATCCATATCACGTGTCTTTAATAGAGCACAGATGTTAATGCTGGCAACTCTTATTGTTCAAAATGTTCTCCCATCATTGCTTGGTGTTTCTTACACTATTTCTGATCTGGTAAACAGCAGAGGGGAAAGACTTCTCTGTCATAGTCATTGGCCACTACAAACCTCCATGGGGCCACAGTATTAATCCACTGAGCGAGCCATGCTGCATGCAGTTGATGATCATATTGACTCGTGAGCAAATAAGTGAATAATCAGGCGCACTACTGCTTCTCCTCTGTATTTCACTATACAGCCCTGACTGCCATGCCTGGCAAGGCTGGCATGCAACCAGTGTTGATCTTCAGCTCAGATTTTCAGTAAGATGGTTGCATAAACACAATGACATCATGTCATGACATCATTACTTTCCTGTAGGTTTGAATCAGCTTGCTTGCTTTTACAGGAAATTATATATATTCACTGCTCCTCCAACTCCATTGACACCAGGGAAGTGCCAGACACATTACTTTCAATATTTAGTGCTCAAGCGCATGAACAACATTCCCATAATCCATTAGGTACCCACCCAGAACAGACTTTGTCATCATACAAGCAAAGGCAGCTAAATAAACAGAAGGGTTGGGTTTAGAGCATAAAAGCTTGAAAAATTCACAGTATTACTTCTGAGGGAAGGGTGCAGCAAAAATTACAGTACCTTGTGCTATGGGGGCTTCTAGTCTGACTGAAAATACTAGACGCTACGGTAATACAATACTGATGCCAAGAGACCAAAGTTTTATTGTCTCCATCTCCCATTTCCCCAAATCCTACCTAATATGATCCATGATGTCTTTGCACCCTGGACTATTCATTTTAGCATTGACTGGAAAGGCTTTGCAGAAGAAAGAATAATACTGGAAACTGGAAGTGCACCGTATGAGATGAGATAGATAATGTGAACTAATGCACGAAACTAAACATAGCAGAAGGAAATCAAAAGAGACATTCTGCATTGTTTATGGACCACAGGACAGTACACAAAATCACAGACTTAAGATCAGCATCTCTCCTGAGGGCTTCAGTGAAAAAAAAAGAGTGGAAAACATTGTATTTATGGGATAGATCAGGTTTCATCTAAGATTCCTCCCTTCAGGTCAATTTAGATCCAACTCTGTTCTACTGCTCCATCAGCAATAAATACAGAAAATATTCATATATTTACAAGAAGTATTGAAAACCTCATTATTTGTTGGAAAGGAAGGGCAGAGGCTAAAGGGGAAAGTGTCATAGTTTACAGCTATGTGTTTTCAAATAGAGGCTAATGTATGCATACCGGCACTCACTTTTACACACCAGTGACAAAATACTGATTAACTGCAAAGTGATCTTTGCAGTGACACTACACAGAGAGCAGAGCCCTTAAAATCAGGGGCTAAAATGATATACTTTCCGCCACCAGTGTCCTAAGTTGGAAATAACTTCATGAGTCTCCCTTTACTCCTACCAAAGATGGCTTTGCTGATTTCCTAGTTCACGATTCAAACTCCTGCTTGACTCTAAACAGGCATCTTCATACGCTAAGTTCTGGACACATACGTAAACCTTGCCATCTCAAGGCTTTTGTGTGACAATATCTGGGAATACATTTACAGGATTTCAATTCAAAAGGTTGAGTTATGCATATGAACTAAGACCCTGTGTCTGATCATTGAGCTAGCTGCAGTGCTACAGTCCCACCCCAAAACCTGCAGACATTGTCTATACCAGCCCTGTCAACAGTTCATGCATATTTTAAAAGCATCAAAGTGTTTTTCCCCATTTTTCCAAGAAAAAAGAGCCCTTACAACACATAAACAAACACATAGAAAGACACAGACATATTTCTTTGCATGATTTCAGTAAAAACATGCTTTTCTTATTAAACTCTGATGCTATCCTTTGATTATAAGCATCTTCTTTCCCAGAAAATCTATGAGTAAGTATGTATAAAAACTCAGCTCAGGGGTCTGCCCTCATGGCGGCTGTGGCCACCCCCAGACCTTCTCACGACGGATGTGTGTGAATTGCCTCATAGTTGTGTGTACAATACATTCTCCCTTTCTTCGGTTTCCCTATCCATCTGGGTGCTTGCCAAGTGTGCTGACTGGCCAACTTCTTAGCAACAGAAATGGGACTTGAGTCCCAACAAGACTCTGGTGGAAGCTGGAAGTATCCCCATTGACTGTGGTGGAGTTCAGCCCACTTCCACCACTTCAGCAAGGGCTTCCTAGCTCCATTATCGGGTAGTCGTGGACTCTGGTTGCTTTAGTCCTGTGGACTATTGAGAGCTTTTGATTCCGCTTAACTTCAGCACAGATTAAGAGCACTCCATTGTCACTAGACAAACCAATTATAAAATGCAGCTAAGTGTACGTGCTGCTCTCTCTCATTGGTTCCTCCTTAAGGGAGGTTCATGTACGTGAAAATTTGGTGGGGTTTCAATGGCAGAAGCAGATTCCAGAGTCAGCATTTCCCTGGAGTGGCAGTTTTCCCAGTGAGGCTGCCACATATCCACAGTCTGGGTCTGTGTTTCACCCCAAGCCCCATGGACTATGGCCAGGCCAAACAGCTTGTGACTCCAGCATGCTCTGGCACCAGCTGGTCACCCTTACATGGGATGAGGCCAAGCCTTACCAAGAAAGCTGAGCTCATGTTTCCAAGAAGAGAAGAGAAAGGGAGAGGTTTGAGCAGAGTGTTGTCATTGCCGGTGGTTTCTTCCAGGCTAGCAGTAAACTTGGGTTGTTTATTGGATCCCAAACTTTCTTTGCATGTACACAGGAAAACAGATGCTTCCCACTCCCTGGCCCCGTGCTCGAGCCAGGCTCCCTCAGCAAAACCTGCAGGTAGGGTACACAAACAGGGCAGCAGGGACATCGCTTCCTGCCTCTGGCTCCTGCAGCTGGTGATACAACATTATCTATCCCGCACACTTCTTTGGCCTCCTTGCCGGGGTATCAGGCCGACTCGCAGCGTGCAGCTTGTTTTTCCTGTGCGGTAGGAACAGCTGCTGCCCCTGCCCACAAACAGGGAACGGAGGCTGGGGATTGCCAGCGCTTTGGCTCAAACAGAGCACATGGGGCATGGATGACAGAACTGGGAAGCAAGCCAGGTCTCCTAGAGCCTGAGCAGGTGGGTGCCCTAACTACAAGGTTACCTTTCATCTTCCAGCATTAAAGGCCTGGCATGGTCCATCCATAGCCCTGTCCTCAGTAAGCCTCAGATGCAGTCCTCCATTTGATTCATTTATGCCAGCAGCAAATTAAGTTTCAGGCTCTTACAATGAATTAGAGTGGCAAAGGGGAAACAGAGCACAAACTCATGTGCCTGGACATGTGCTTAACTATGGGGCTCCAGGATGGCCACAGTCTCTTGCCTCTTCTTCTGAAACAGTGGGTGCTGGTCCCTACCTATGCCAGGATGGTGATTTATTGCAGCTGTGTGCCCTTCTGTGGTCCGAAGGGGATCCTTCAGCTTTCTGCTTGAAGAAGATCTTCAAAAGTGACACAGGTTGTTTGAGAATATGATGCACTCACTGTTCCACTCTCCTGTGACATTTCTTTACATAAGCAGCTGAATAGCAAAACACATCAGTGTTCATTACTAATTTTGTTATTTATAACGAGCTGCCACAGATGGAGACTGCAGCACCATTCTATCTTTAGTGCACAGCGCCTGCCTGTGCATGCAGACAATTGGTAATTAGCACAAGAACAATTTGTTTATCTATTCTCAAACTTAAATAAATAGGAGGGCCATTTATCTGTCAAAATTCAACTCCCTCCCACTGCCAGATCTCCAGGTTAACATGCTTAATGAATAAAGCTCATCGCCTCAGGCATTTATGTAAAGACAAAAGCATCTTTTAAAAGAATTCCCGTTAAAGAAAATGAAATATGCAATAAAAAATAACAGGTTATGTACTGAAGGGATAGCATTTAGATAATGAGAATCAGGAGAGCAGGACAAGATGAAGATCACAGGGATGCCAGAGGTGTAGACATGGACCAACAGGTACATAGGGGAGGTGTGGAGCATATATCCTGGTTACTCCTGGCACGTCCACTTCCTACCAGGCAGCCACCCAGCTCTCAGCCGATCGCTCCAAGTGAACCCTTGCATGAGCATAAAACCAGGGAATAGAAGGCAGAGAGGATACTAGCGGTTCTCCAAGTAAAATCCCACATGTGCACTAAGATGCACTTGCATGGCTTGGATGGTAGGACCCTGCCCAATGTAAACACCACATAAGCCAGGGAGAAGACATGACATAATTTTTTCTATTTTCATTGCTGATTCCAATCCTTCTTTGTTTTATTTTGTTCCCTATACCCATGCTTGAAATTAGAGAAGGGAGGAAGAGTCTTTATGAATAGATGGACTTTGTGAGTTGCACGCAAGCATTGGCCCCTCTTCCCTCTCTCCTTGCCCCCACCACAGCTGACGGGAGGGGAATGGGCGCTGCTGAAGGACTGCTCACACGCACTTTATAAGGCCAAAGCAGTCTGTGTGGAAGAAAACAAACAACCCTTGTCTTTCTCACAATTCAGATGTTTTCAGCATCTGGAGGTGTTCACTCACTCAAGCTTGCAGGTGCAGCTTTTTTTACATGCATATGAGTGTACACACATCCATACCTACAGGTTGGGAAAAGCAACGGGAAAAAATAAGAAGGTTTTAGAGGTTACTGCTATCAGGAAGCAAAAGTGGGTCAGATCTGAGGAGTTCTGCCTGGCCTCCGTTTCTGATCATATGGCTCCCAGTGAAGAGCTATTTGCTTATTGTCCTACCACCTGGACAATCTTTATTTGACCTTTTTATCCTCCTATCAGCATCCAGGAAGGGGATAAAAGCTACTAAATAAAAGTAAACCATTTCAAATACAATGGCTGGAAAGAAAGAACTAATGAGGAGCTCCTTCTTTTGTCTTTCAGCTTACAACTCCGAATTTCCCTGTAGTGGTCAAGCTGGGACATGCTCATGCTGGAATGGGGAAGGTAAGTAAAAGAAAAAATATGTATAGCTCAGGAAACAGAGAGAGATAAATATATATGTGGCACAGCATTCCTGTGATTGTACGCGGCGTGTGGCCAACCAGCGAAGGGGTTAAACCTCCCCAGAGCCTATCTGGGTTGCACTGGCTGTTCCTGTGGGAGAAAAGTCCTTTTTCCGCTGTCACGCACTCGGAGACAGGCAGTGGTATTGGGTTGAAGGCTGTCTGGGATGTGGGAAGGGGGGTTGTGAAGAGTGGGGGAAAATCTGGCTGGGCTGAAGTCATTAGGCTCGTCTTTTATATATTTTCTCCTCTCCTGAAAGTGGTGATGTTGTTTATTCAAGCACCTGTAATGTGCAGCTACACCCCATAGCTCTCACAATGAGGAGTAGTGGCACAGGTCTTTTTGAGCGCATTATGATTCAACAAAACGGGAGCCCTTCAGTTATTTTTTCCTTCTTTGCAAGGAAGAACAAGACCTTACAAAGCAGAGTGGCTGGTTGCCTGCCAAGGAATCCTGAAAAACAGTTCACTCCCCAGAAGGACCTGTTTGTTTTTCCCAGGCTCTCTGGGATCTTTATTCCCGCAGTGAATTAGCAGCCCCTGCTTCTTGGGGTGACTGGGCTCCCCTTTCATCTTGGGGTGACTGGGCTCCCCTTTCATGCCTCCCTTGAGGCATCGCCAGCACATTCCTGATGCACTTTACCCTCCTCTTTCTTGCATATACCATTTTAAAAAAAGTGTGCCTTATCTGTCTAAAACTTGATTTGTTCAGAAGTAGGAAATTCTGATGTATCGTGTCTGAATCCAAATAGGCGATACATGAATTTCATAACTGATACCCCTGTCACAGTGCTTCCCTAGAGCAGACAGACCTTCTGCCAGCCTCACACTTTGCCTGAAAATTATATATAGGTACGCTAAACTTAAACTTGGTACAGCTTATTTGCTTGCACTCGGGGAACAGAAGCCCTTTCTGGCTTCCTGGATTACACATGGAAGCTCTCATAATCTTTCTTGCCTTGGTTGCAGTGTTCCCCTGTCTGGATGGTAGCTGCTGGAGAGGAAGTGGGCTCAGATCCCTGGGCCAGTGGTGGAGCTGGCTTTCAGCATCAAAGAAAAAACATTTAAATAAGCAGGAAATGTTTGTTAAAATATTGGTGCTGCATATGTTAAACAGGCAGAGGTGTCATTGAATTAGAGTACATGCAGACAGCCTAGAGCTGCTTGTAGAGCAAGCCACTGAACATGTCCCTAGGAAGGATTTCATTAGCAAAATCCAACCAGGACAAACCAGGAGGAAGAAACCTCTCTCTGAGGAAAGGTTTCAAGTTCCCCGAGACTCTGCAATCTTGGATCTCTCTGACCACTCTGAATTTCACCTGTAATGTAGGGAGGGCTTCATGTGTCTCTCTTGTCCACAAAAGACCCTCGATGGCTACAGAAATGAGTGCAGAATCAGAGAAAAGTATCCCAATCTTAACAGTGTTTCCAGACAAAACTCTCAGCAGAATATTTAGCTATTGTCTTCTGCATCAGACATGAGATCTTCTCCCACCTCTCACTTTCTCTCCCATTTTATTGTTTAATGATGTTGATTTTTGCTGTCACAAGATATAGGGGAAGAGAGTTTCTATTCAAACTCCAGGCACAATTGTATGCAGTGGTAAAAGGGGCCTATGTAGGAAGTCATTCCAGATGAAGATAGGCTGACAGCCAGCATGTTAGAAGAAAGAATTGGTCTGAGGCCAAGCTTACTTTAGTCCATTATGAAATTTGGGACTACTAGCAAGGTCTGGATGTGGATCCAGTCATGAAGTTTCAACACTGCTCTGTTCAGTAGATGGGAAGGTACAGGAAGGAAGGGTTGTTGACTTTATGGGTTTAGTTTGGGCCCTTCTCCAGCCACAAGAAGCCTGAAGGAAAATTGAGACTGATTAAATTAGCCTTCTTGAAGTCCCACTGCATTTCATCGCATAGAGCAAAAAGAGAAGGGAGAAAGTGAAAATAAAATAAAGAACAAGTCAGTTGATTTAAAAGACAAGTAACAGGAATTTGGTTCACGTTTTTAAGACAATAGGGTTCAAGCCCAATTGGTACTGACAAAGAAACCACAGAAAGTGTCAGGAGAAATACAGATAAGCAGAACTATGGGTATACTAGAAAAGTAACACCTATAGGTAAAAAAGCCCAAACCTTCAATTAAGTATTTCACTAGAGGAAAGTTTCCAGGAGACATAATGGTGGCTTTAACCATCATAATGTAAAAGCAATAACCAGCGATGATAAGGAGATTACAGAGAGCTACAGGATTTCTTTGCATTGGTTTTCAGAAGTAGAGATGATAGCAGGAAATAGCAGGTCTTTATCTGTAAAATACACATAATGCAAAAAGAGAGAGGTTTGCTTTTGGTTTATATGAGTGTAAGAAAGTAAATGTTAATGAAGCACCTGCATCGGGTCATGTTTTGTATAAAAGCAGTGACTGAAGAAACAAAGGATAAAATAACCAACCTATTAGCCAAAGTACACATGTGAGTATTAAAAATAGTGCTTACTGCAACAAATGATGCCAAGACAGCGAGCCATGTATTTGTACCTGTAATGGCTGCTTCAAAGGCTGTGAGCATTCAGATTACAATCTCATTACCAGCAGAAATTGTCAAGAAAGTACTTATATTTTTCTTGTTATTAATGATAAAATCACATGTAATGGGAGGCACCGAGATTTAGAAGAATGAGCAAAGATGGGAAGTCCAGACACTGTTACTCTTAATTTGCACTGAGGTAGTGGCCAGGAGCCAGAAAAACTCTGGACACAGAAAAGGCCTCTTCCCCAAAGAGCTCCAGCATTGACTTGCAGGGAGATTTGTGTCATTTCATGGTTCTTCTTCTGTTTCTCTGTCTTACAGACCAGAAGGATTACAATAATTATCTGATACTTATTGCTAATTCATGTTCATCAGGCTCTTGCCACTTTAAGAAGTGCTGAGTGTTTATTATTTTGCAATAAAGGCTAGAAAGAGCATAATTATAATAGTCAGACTTTCATTTTCACATATTGTTTGTTTTCACAACATTTACACAAAGTTCAGTCACCACATTTTTTAGTCAGAGAGCTGAACAGAGAATCTTCAAAGTTAAAATGAAAAATAACCATGTCAGGACCTGTAAGAAACGGACTCTATTGATTGTCTTTAGCTTGGAAGAGGAACAGTTGGTATTCAAGGTCAGAACCAAAAGGGGTGGCAGTGTACTGTTAGTGATAGAAATGATCTTGCTACGTGATGCGTGCATGTAAGGTGCAGGTGGAGATGAAGAAAACAAATTTGCAATAAAAGGCATCTTTTGAAATTTCCATTGAGAAATCCAGAAACAACAGACTCTGTGTTGACTTGAACAGAGACGCCAGGAATAGCCTTCACCCAGAGAGACAAAGCAGCTCCAGACAATGTTCTCATCTAAAACCAGGACATATGCCTTTCAGCCCCTCCCATGACCATCATTATCCCGCTTGCAAAATTCGGAGTCACTTCATATTTCCCTGGCACTGGAAGATCATAACAAGTGCTCTGTGTGCTGCTGGTCCAATACGGTATCAATACAAATAAAATATCTGTAGAACTACTGCTTAGTCGATGGTTTAAAATGGAGTCAGCAGAGAAGGACCTTTCTCGTGTTGTATTTTAGTAGCCCAGGCTCACAGGGTCAATAGTACTCCAGGACTCTTCCAGGGAAACCATGGATGGACACTGAGAGGAGATGTCCTTCCCTGTGCAGAACTGAAGTATTGTTCACCCAACAGTTCCTAAGAGGTCAAGGCATTTTTAAGCATTGTGCAGTTTGAGCCTACCTACCCCAGAAGTGATCGGGGGTCTCTGTTGAATAGGGTGAGCACTACAGTGAGAAAGAAATAATGCTTCTTCCTGACTCCAGATCTCATAATGTCAGAGCCCATGGAAAAGAATAAAGCTCCGAGTGTGTTAATATCTGCCATTTGTGTGCTAACATGACCCTAAAGTGCCCTAGAAACAGAACCCAGCACTGCAAATTCACTCAAAGAGCCTCTTCACCTCTTCCTGATCAGATCATGAGAAGGAAACAACTGCCAGATCTGCAAAGAGAGGAAAAACAGTATCTGTTCATGTGGCTTTATATATATTTATATGAATTTAATAAATATACATATATTTTTTGCTACTCTTACTTTATTTTTAGACTTCTCTAATTAAGCCAGTTTAAGAGTCACCTCCTGTCCCCTCCTGCCCCATAATTATGGAAACACCTCCCCAGTACAAATCCTGGCTTAGATGAATCTACTACATTGTAGAAGAAAAACTTGTTGTTCATAATAATGCGGTCAGAGTTATTTTCTCTCTTACTGGATGGGAAAGACTTCTCTACTTTTTTTTTTTTCCTCTGGTATAAATATAGCACAAACTAAACAGAGCCACTCTGTAATGTAAAAATACTGCAAGCTTTTTATCAGGAAGGACAGCTCGTCACCTTGTCTCTCTCGGGACTGGAAATAGAATGTTCCAAAAGTGAGAGCTTTGAAAATCCAGTGTGCTAAAGAGGAAAGGAAGGGGAAAGGGCTGCCTCAGTTTGTCAAGGAACAAATATTTTCTTTTACAGAGGGCAAATAATGACTTGACATGTAACATTCACAACAGAGAAGCCCAATCACTGCCTTCCCACTGACTCATGAGCGAGGAGGTACCACCCATCTTGAAAATAGCAAAAGCATCCCCATTTCTTGCACATCAGTCTGGATGCTTTTGCTGGACACAGAAAACAGTGACTGATCCAGGGCACTGTGGACCGAAGCTGTGAAGACCTGGGGCTGGGAGGAGCTCTTCATTGGGAAGTTAGTAAGGATTATAAGATTTAATGTTTTAAAGGCAGCATAACATCTGGAAAACTTCAGTATGAGGATAATATGGAAATGCAGACTCTGTTGTGTCTTTATTATTTTGAGGGAGGTCAAAGTTAGGCCTAAACTGAATGTGTGTTGGGCAGATCACATATTTTCTGAGGAGTATAATTTGGGGGAGAGAGAAGGAGAGACTCAGGAAACCCTCTGTGCAGAGCCATTCCTGAAGACCTGCTGTCCCAAAATGGTAAAGTCACTACAGAAAGGCTAAGCACAGTTGAGATGGATGAAAAATCACAAGCTTTGTGTGGCCACACCAGTTCCTCTGGAGGAAAACATTCAGACCGTGCATTTTCACAAGCCTACTAAGACTCAGTTAAACACCCTGTTGCCAAGCCCAGCCCTGGTTCAGCCTTGGACACTTACCTTCCAGCTGAACCTGCCTCTAACCCCAGTTTGGACAGAGAAACTGCTCCTGCGAGCCATCTCCAAAGTGGTGTGGGTTTAGCCTGTAAGGCAGAGTTAACTCTGGATGACACTCAGACAGGCAAGGTTAGGACAGCCCTAGCAGACTATTATAATTACACCACTTTGGCTGACTGACTATTTTTTCATGTAACTAACGAAAGCAAAAGGGGACTGTGAGGCAATACCTTGCAGTGCTTAAGCTAAAGATGAGAGAGGAGTGCCGTAGCCCTGGGACCCTGGTGTCCAAGAATATCTGGGATATACAAGAGGCAGTAGATTTGGGAACTACAAGACAGAGGAAGCAGAAATTTCTACCCAGGTCCCTCACTGCAGGAATCCAGGCTCACACAGATCTCAAGGGTGGCTCAGACTGCCCAGGAAACATCCACGGTGGGTTTTTAACAATGCCAGGACCCACCCTCCAAAATCCTGTCTTGCAGGAAAGCCTCAAAAGAAGGTCTACAGCAGGGATGGGACAGAAGTGTTTCTTCCTGCTCTGTCCCTCAGACCACCCTCCAGCAAAGAGCCAGAAGATCCGTGCCTTTTTGGCAGGCTGAGGATGGGAACGGGCACCAGCTGCAGGTCATGTAGTATCGGCCTCTGAGATGCCACCACGGAGCAGAGGGATGGTCACATCTGTGTGAGTGTGTCCCCAGGGATCCAGCCAGACTCCTCTCCTCACTGCAGCAACAAGGAGCGTGCTGGGGCACGGCCGGTGCCTGGGTGAGAGAAGAGAGCCAGAAGGGAAGCAGGGACTATCCCAGGGAGCTTTCTTACTCAGCAAAGGCATTTGTCAACACACTGGCCCAAACTCTTCACAACAGGTCACTAAAACGCTACAGCAAACAGCAGCTGATGGCTCCAGAAAGAGTCCATTGCTGCTCAAACAGCCAGCACAGCTAAGCAAACAAGCTGCCAGGGCAGGGGCTGTGTTTGCACTCGCTGTTTGCACTCTTCTACGCAGCTAATGGGATATTGCGTTTATCCTAAGAAAGCTGAAAAAAAAAAGAGAGAGAGAGAAATGGCTTCCTGTTGATCTCTTTCCCAATTCTTTTCTCAGTTTCATGCATTGGCCAACCTGCCATTTTAGAAGACAGATTTATCCTTTATTAGGTAAATTGGTACCTGTTTGCTCTAGAATGATTTTTAATAGTCCATTCTTAAATAATGCCCTCTGGTGTCACACTACATCCACCCTAGCTTTGGTTATCTCTAGAGGTTTTTCTCCTGTTAGGAGAATGGATATTTTATTGACATGTAAAAGGGTTACAAGGCAGGAGGAAATGAATTATAAAAAATTTAAAAGTAGAAAGCTAATAAAATGGTGTACTTGCTAGATAAGGCAGGAAAATAAATCTAATTTGACTGTAACTCGAGTGCTTCCTGTTTATGAAGTTATAACCATACCCTGGACTAAACCAGCCTTAACCCACAACACGGCTGTTATTTTGTCAAATTTGGCCAGCTCTAACAATTAACAAATGGTGGCTCAGATTTCAGCTTTGGTGTGGTGATTATTTTGATGCTCGGTGGGAAATAAGGCCATGATCTCCTAAAAGGGGACCTCTGTGAGGTACTTTCTCTGAACAGCCCTTGGGAAGGGCTCTGGCACAGGCCAGGGAAGATGGCAGAGCTGTTTCCTGAGGACTGTGCAGTGGTGTGGGACTGTGGGAGTCATCTTTGTTTTTCAGTTCTTATTTTGTGCCCTCAGTGAGTCCCCCTCTCTTTATTTACCCAGCCAAAAATCCTTAGGCCCACTGGGGAAAACACCTTCAAGTGCTTTCCCTGTGTCCCCATGGGGAGGGGGTGATGGAGAGAAGGAAGAAATGGACTCTTCCTTTCCTTGCTGTATTTTTGAGGAAAAATCCCATTTAATGAAACGAGTGTACAGCTCCTTTCTAGCAATAACAATATGGTCTAATTCCAATCTGGAGACGGAAGCAGCATCCCTTCCTCTGCCTCTGGGACAAATGCTCCTGGGGTGGGGATGCAAACATTTCAGCCGGGGCCCAAAGACTTCTGTTGCACAAGCGCAGCACTTTGTTTCGGATCCCACAAACGTCGTTGTTCCAAGTAGGTCATTATATAATGGCTTTTGTCTTTTCCCATTGCCAAAAGGGTCCAGGAGAATACGTCATAACGCCATGCGTCACTTGCCCATGCAGTCCCTCCTGCGATCACTTCATCTGGGTGGGACTCTCTCACTTGATGTCATTCAGCCCAGCTCAGCTCTTATCTGTGCAACAAAAATACTCGGCCCCGACACAGCCTGTGTTGTTCCCCGTGGTACTTTGCAAGCCATGCCCAGGCTGGGGGCTCCCCTCATGTGAGCTTCTCCCCTCTCCCGCTCCCCCCGCTGCTTCTGGGGCTTTCCTACCAGCTCACCCTGCCCTGCTGTGCCAGGAGCAGCCAGCACCGCACGCAACCTCACTCAGACACAGATGGGAACCACATAGCCCAGAGCAAGGCTGCTCCTCCTGGATGACGTGCAATGGTAGCCTTTACATTTCCCCTTTGTGTTTATTTCCTTTTTTTTTCCTACCCTCCCGCCCCACAGACCTTCTGGGGCTTTCCTACCAGCTCACCCTGCCCTGCTGTGCCAGGAGCAGCCAGCACCGCACGCAACCTCACTCAGACACAGATGGGAACAACATAGCCCAGAGCAAGGCTGCTCCTCCTGGATGACGTGCAATGGTAGCCTTTACATTTCCCCTTTGTGTTTATTTCCTTTTTTTTTCCTACCCTCCCGCCCCACAGACGACTGTCGTCTTCCTCTGCTCCTTTTCTCAGCGGTCCCTGAATAGCAAGAGCACAGCCCTCACCACAGCAAAAGGGAAGAGGACTAGGGGTATTTGGCATTCAGCAAAAGGATAAGCAAAGACCAGGTCTTTTTTCTTATTATTCAGGCATCTAGAAATGGTCATGGGTCAAACTAGTTGCACTTTTCACCTTCCCCACAACCCGTCCAGTTCTCAAGAGCTTTTCTGCACCAGGATGTGGCTGCATCTTTGGCTTATGTTACAGCTGGTGCTTACACAAAACCATCTAAAAAGAGTAAAACAGGTTAGCAATGAGCTTGTCCTCTGTTCTCTAGTGAAGATGGCTCCTGCCCTCTCATGGTTGAAGGCAGATATGTAAAACCACTTGTTTGTTCTTTGCAAAGAAACACCAAATACCATTGCACGTGTTTCCTTCAGCTGGCTCCACATAGTCTGGCATCACCCTCCTTTAACACACACACTGACGCAACTGGGAAACTCTTCTGGAGCAGAGATCGACCGGTTGTCACGAGCAAGTAAACACTTAGCAAAGCAGGGTTGCAATCCCCAACTGTGGATTTGAAGTGTTACCAAACTACAAAATGTAGGTAATATGTAAAGAAAGTCACTCGCTCGTCCTTTTCACACAGTGTTGCTCTTTTTTCCACCAATGAACCCACCCTTCCTGCATCTGTCCGGCTCTAAGGAACAAGACTTGCACAGGTTTCTCTGATGCACCAAACACATTTTTGCCAATAGACTAAAGGCCAGAGTTGATAGCACGAATGAGGTGAAGCTGTCCACTATGTTCTTGTTACCTGCTTGTTCAGTTTTCCTCTCCCAAACCAATGAGCTTTTGTAGAGATTTCATCGTATCATTAGAGTGTCTACTGTTTTCGTCCTTCTTTCTTCTTCTTTTTTTTTAATAAGGTACAGAGCATTTCTCATAACTGAATACAAATCTGTGAAAAGCCAGCTTCTGAGAAAAACTAGAGCTCATACACCACTGCCCTCTCATTTCCAAGTGTGACTCAAGTCTAACACCCAACCAGCTGTCCCACACATGTGCCCATGGCATCACACTCACACAAATCTCCCCAAGAATCACAGGTCCTCCAGAGACATCCTTTTCGTTCAGAGCTTGCTTCCAGCCAGCAGACCTGCACCCCTCCTCAAAGAAAGTCTGGAGGGGGGTAATGTGAAATGCCAGGGAACTGAAGCCTAGAGGTGGCAAACAACCAGCTCTCTTGTTGATTTCCTGGCATTGGTTTCTATTTCCTGACCACCCGAAATACTCTATTTTCATCCATCCCGACATGGGAAGTAGCAGTTCCAATGTTTGAATGAAGTAATGCCCCTCAAGAGATCAAATATTTTTCTGAAACACCATAAAAGCAATGAGCATTAGCAAGAGCCATCTGGGCAAAGGTCTACCTGACTCCCTGATGCCAGGTTCACCAGGGTTTGTGCATGGGGAAGGAGAAAGGCGGTCATTTGCCCTGGCTTGGGTTGGTCTGGGCAACTTCTCTCTTTAAATGATACAATCGCTGCTCTGTCCTCAGCTCCGTCTCTGGGGGTTTTAACTGACATTGCGCTATTCAGGCACAGAGATGACTTCTACTCACAAAGTCTTCCTGTTCTTTTTGCTCTTGTCACTTTTTCACTGGATTTTGGCAATCAAGGTCAAAGTTGAGAACCAGCACGACTTCCGCGATATGGCCAGCATAGTAGCTATGGCAAAAACCTATGCCACCACCGAGCCGTTCATTGACTCCAAGTACGACGTCCGAATCCAGAAAATCGGCAGCAACTACAAGGCTTACATGTGAGTGCGTGGCTATGCTGGAGTGAGATGGGGGGGAGACAGTGCTATGGATGTGATTCAGTTGGTGTCTGCTCTGGGCAGGAGTAGGAAGCTGACTTAATTTTCTTGAAGAATAGCCCTGCTCTTGTCCTCCACCTCTGAACCCAGATCCCTCAGCCACCGATCATCTTCTCCATTACTCACCGTCACCTCATTGTTTCTGGAATGTAAATCTCCCTCTACCTGTTTCTGAGATTCAGTTAGCTCCCACTATAACAACTGTGCTCTACCATCACCTATCACCTCTCCCTCCTGTTATCAAAGGGTTCATCTTTCCCAGCAAAATCCTCCAGGTCCCAGTACCCTTTAGTGGGAACTGAACCCACCCCCTTCCCACCTCGGGGAAACAATAAAAAAAGATTGAGCCAGCTGCAACTCATGGAGTCCTACAGTGTCCAACTCATAGCAACACTCCATCCTCTTCCCAGCTGGAGATCACGGCACTGCAATCACACGAGGACACAAGGAGCACACAGCACCGGGTATGAACAGCCTCAGCCTGGCCAGCATGCAGGGTTTCTGTGGGCATTTTGCATGTGCACTCCTTGAAGCATATAAAGGAGGGAAAGGAGAAGGAGAGACATTTTGTGAGTGCCCAAAAGCTCCTCCCTGCCCTGTGGGGTAGTAAGGGAGGTGGCATGAAGGCAACCTTCAACACTGGTATGTTTCAAAATATTAAAAAGCATTCAACCAAACTTCAGTAGTCGTCAAACTCAATTAAAGATAGAACCACATGAGTCAGGAAGACACCTGTTTCTTCTTACTGCAAACCAGTAGATGAGAAAAGCCAAATAGCACAGCTTCTCCAGAAGCTCCTTATCCAGCCACAAAATTCTGGACAAGTAGACAGCTCCAGCCGTACATTCCTCAGGTCGCCAGATAAATTTCATACGTTACCTAACACCCACAACATTGTGAGTTTTGGGTCCATGTTTACAAACCCCCAGGCCATAGTTCTGGTAAAACGTAGTTAAGTAAGATAATCAAATGTACATGAACACATATTTTTCAGCTATAGCTGCCTAAAATTCCTGGTTGGATTCCTAGCACAGAGGTATTTAAGTAAACTAGATAATGACTGAGGCATATTCTTCATGGGAAGGACTTGTGGGACACTCGTCAACTTGAACTCAATGAGAGAAAATTTGTTTTAAATCTGATAAGGTCAACAATAGCACATTTGCCTAATATTACATTAACATCCCAGGGAGTCTGGCTCAAATTGGCCAAAGGAAGGAAGGTTTAAAATATCAATTAAAATTCCCTATTCCTGCCAACCTACCCAGACTTGGCTCAAGAGCCTACTCCCAGCCTGCCTCTAAGTGAAACAAAGACCCAGTTAGCCTGACTGTATCCTCTCCCCATTTATTATTCGCTTTCACCATGCACTCATCCAGACAGGGATCAGAAATAATACCAAATGATTGAGGAAAGAAAGCAGTCACACTTAGAGCTAATCCCACTTGGGAATATAGCTGCGCAAACAATTGTTTGCTAAATGAAAAGTGTTTTCACATGAAAACAGCCATGAACGGGGAACACCTTAATGAGAAATGAAGCTTATTAGTAAAGAAAGTAAACAGCAAAATTCATCTAGCGACTTGCTAACCCAGAAGGTTGACTTACTTTGAGAGTGCCATTTATGGACATGAGCTTGGGAGAGCAGTATAGTCAGTCCCATTGGGGGCTGTTCCTTCTGTTCCAGCATCAGACAGAATAGAAGGTTATTTCTATAAATAAGTCCCTACTATGTCCAAGGACAGAGATAAAAGCACCCAAAATATCAGAGCTCTCACTGGTGTCTCGAATAGAAGACTCAAAATCGTTAGTCATGCTAGCAAATCTCAACCTTAAAGGCAGTGACAACATCTGCAGTACAGAACCACACAGAATTACATAGAATCACAGAATCGATGAGGTTGGAAGAGACCTCTGGGATCATCAAGCCTAACCTTTTCCTAACACCACCATGTCAGCTAGACCATGGCACTAAGTGCCATGTCCAGTCTTTTCTTAAACACCTCCAGGGATGATGACTCCACCACCTCCCTGGGCAGCCCATTCCAATACCTGATGACCATTTCTGTGATTAAATGCCTGCTCATTTCTAGCCTGAACTTCCCCTGGTGCAGTTTCAGACTATGCCCTCTTGTCTTATCACTAGTTGCCTGGGAGAAGAGGCCGACTCCAACTTCGCTACAACCTCCTTTCAGGTAGAGAGCAATAAGGTCTCCCCTCAGCCTCTTCTCCAGGCTAAACAACACCAGTTCCCTCAGCCACTCCTCATAAGACTTACAGTACCTTCATACTAAGTGAATTGCTTTGATCTGTGAGCCATGGAATCTACTCGGTATTTTTATACCTTCTTCCACACATATAGACTTTAAAAGTCTCCGTCCTTCTGAGAAAGGACTGTGTACCGAAATTCTCCAGACTATGTTTACTTTGCACTGAGCATCTGCCAGAGGGAGGATGCTGCAGGGTGACTCATGCATTCCTCCCCACCCCAGATGTTCAATGCACTTCCTTCCAGCCCATGACCCAAGGCTTTAGTTCAGTTTCCCATTGACTTCAGTGCAGTGACTCCAGATTTACACTACTAACAAAACCTACTTAGCCCATGCCTTCGGCCAGTCTCAAAACAGCGGATAAGCAACACGTGATACATGCCTAAAATTCCACCAAATGTATTTGACTGTCATTGTAATACTGGTGAAGAAAAAACATGAATACTGCTCATGTGGCAGGGTAAATTGGGGCAGAAATTATGCTTCCACCCTCACCCCAACTGGGGGCAAACAGAAGGATCATTTCCAGTTAAGATTTGTGAAATGTTGTTCACTTTGAAGGAAGCCAGCAGCTGCTGACTTTCAGGGGTGGGATATTCCTTGCCATCAGCTCTTAGTAAGAGAGTAATATCCTTTCCTTTCTAGTTTCATGAGTGTGACTTCTGATCTTGTCGCCTCAAATGCAGTGCAATGTGCTCTGCAGGGGATACAACATCAACTGTGTCTAAACTAGAGCTACTTCTAGACTGAAATGGCCCAGCTTGGAGATGGCAAGTATAGGACACCAACAACCCATGATCTGCTGGTCTATCCACTTATCCTAAGCAATGCTGAAGGTTGTCTTGGTCACATATCCGCTTGATCAACTGATCCCTAAAAGCCTGGGGTCCTTTCCTTTAAGATACTAACTGTACGCTGTTGTGGCCCCCTGATGTTTAGGATGATTGGAAGCACTTTGATGTTCAGTCCCTGAGAGAAATGAGGTTTGAAGCAGGGCACCTTTAATTTTTGTCTTTACTCTCCTTTTCCACTTCAGGTTGAATACAAAAAGGGAAAGAAAAAAGAAGAATAATAATAATAATTTGGTGGCACACTTGACACCTGAACTGCTCAGACATGCTTAGAGAGGAGTGATCTTGACAGAGGCTGTGGTGTAGGAATTTGGTGACTGGTCCAGAGGGCTTCAAATGAAGCTTTTCCATTTAAAAACAGCAAAGTTCCCTAACAGGAAAGTTAGGGATACAGCTGTGAGAAATATTTTATATCTTATGCCCAATATTGCCTGGAGATGGGTAGGCATAAACGAGTCAAAGCAATCAGCCCAACAGCTAGAGCAGAGTTCTTATTTTGGAAACTTTCCCACATCAAATTTCCTTGTAAAACCGTGTAGCTGTGGTTTGGTTTTCTTACGGACAACACAGCTGCTTACATTTGGTATGCCAGGTACATTTTCTAAACACTGATATCCAATCATCTTGTCACTAATCAGTCTCCAGGAGTTCTCATCAGCACTAATGGGATTCTGGATGCCATCTGCGACTACAGGGCAATTTTGTGAACCTAAATATTAATAAAGAGTGGTTCTTCCCATTGCAGAACTGAAAAACATAATCCTAAGAATCCCATGTCAAAAGAAAAAGAGAGGCTGAGGGTTGAACACTGACCGTACAGGCCATCAAAGGGCTCATAACACTCAAAGCTTGTGGAGGAATCCATTCTTTTGCTTAGCAAGTAGGGCAGGAAGAGGGATGTTGGGAAAAGGGAACAAGGACAAGAGTCAACTGTATGGAAATACAGTTATTCAACACAGTAATCATGCTCCTTTGCCCCCCCAACCCCCAACTCCTTTAAATATTGTTACAAAGACCATTTAAATCCAGCAACTATACATACCGCTTTAGAAGAGAAATGGAAAAACGACTCCAGGCTGTCCCTCACCAGAGTAAAGAGGAACTTTGGGTAGTCAACTATAATGATCCAGGTTTATAGTCTAGCAGGACATCAGTATTACCACTGCTTCACATGGGTTTGCAAGTTGAGAGTCTCTTTTCCACATCATGTTGAAAAGGTGAAAGAATTGGCAGCAAGGGTTCCCACAACCTCATGTTGAAGTGTTGGATCACACCTCATACTCCCCTCATAAATCTCTACCTAAATCTTCTTCAGCAAGGAGATGCTCCCTGGATGTATCCTGTGAGCTTGTTGACTTGTTCTAGCTTGGACACTATGCCAGAGTTATCTGCACAGTGTGGTCACAGCAGGTTGTCCAAGGCCTACCTTGTGCCTAAGGTTAAGAAAAACAAAATTTTCACCCCTTGATGAATGATGATGAAACCCAGGATTTGCCAGCAACAGTACCTTTTTTTGGAAATTAACCATCAGTTGCAGCTAACGAGACTCCAACAATTTTGCAATTATAAATTCTCCAAGTCCAGACAGAGTGAGCCACAGACAGGTCAATGAAAAGTCAGTGAAAAGAGGATATAATCATATATTCTGTGACACCAGTACGGTTTATATCAAAGTTAAGGAGACCTAGAATGTCAGAGCTGATATTTGTGAAGCTGTTCAGGCAGATGTGGGCCTGGAGAGTTGCTCTTCCATGGATGGAGGATGCTACCCATTGCAGAACACAAGGGTGATTATCCCAGAGATCTTCTACAGACATTTCAGCTCTCCTGGGCCTGATGTATAAAGAAAAAAAGTACTCACAGAGCTTGATGTGTGCTCAAGATTCCTTGGAGGTTTCCCTACCTAACTCCTCATTCAGTTTTTCATGAGTCTGAACAACATATCCTGTACGGAGTGTTGTCGAGGCAGGATTTGGAAAGGCTTCTGTGAGGAAGAACCTCACCTCATCCTCTCCTATACAAGCACTGAGTCAAGAATGAGGACTACGGTATGAGGGAGGATGGGGCAGGAGTGTATTTTCATGTTCGGGTTACGCTTTTGGTTTGTTTTCCTAGGAGGACGTCCATCTCTGGAAACTGGAAGGCAAACACAGGTTCTGCGATGCTAGAACAGATTGCAATGACAGAGAGGTAAGGAAGAGGTTTTCAAGACAGTATTAGCTATTCTTGGGTTAGAAGGCAGAAATTGTATTTCAGACTTTCGTTAATTGAGAGAACTGGTAAGTGAGGTCTCCCGAGAGGCTGGATAAAGGAGTTTAAAAGACCAAGTGTTTCCTTAAAAAAATACTAAGGGCACAAAGGCAAACTGTCCTATTTTGGAGAACAGACTGGAAGTACAGCTAGAGACCAACATTGCTAAATCATCAGATCTTTAGTGAATGTAGCCACAGGAAACAAGACCAAGGTCAAGCACACCAGCACAAACATGTAGGGATAAAATCAGAAAGGTCACAGCACAAAACAAGAAGTAACAAGAAGTTATTCTAAGTACATTACTAATGAGAGGCAGACACAGAAAAGTGTTTTTCTTCTGCTCAACAGAGGGAAAAATCTGTCAGCTGAAGTGTTGAAAGTGCTTTTTTGCATTACTCTCCCAAAAGTGGACACTCTTTTAGCTAAGGTCTTCTCACTGCTGAACAGCGCAGGAGGAATTGTCTCATGCATCTTACAGACTAAAATTTGCAGATGGTACTTCCGTATATTCATATCACTGTGATATTTGCTATTATTGCAACTACATGACATTGTTGACTCCTGGTAACTAATGCTTTGCTGTAACTCCCAAACCCTATTCAGCAGAACTGCTATCAAGTCACTTGTTCTCCATCCTATTTAAGTAGATTACTTGTAGATTTAAAGAATCTATAGATTATGTATAGGCACTCATCCCTAATGAATCTAAGATTTTTTCAGATTACACCTCCAATTTGTCAGGGTCATGATTAATTCTGACTCTGTCCAGGTTTGGGCATGACATTTGAAGAGAGATAGCAAGGAGCTGGAGAGAGCCCAGAGGATAATAAAGGGAACACTCAGAGAAAACATAATCAACCTATGAGAAAAATATGCGACAATTACTTAGGTAGTTTTCCACCTTTTTCAGTTAGCAGACCACTGATATTTTTCCAGTAGAGGTGTAGACTCATGCATAATGAATCTACGCCTGCAGTGCAGAGGTTGACTTGCCTTCATTAGCTGTCACAGAGCTGGAAGAAGTTGTCCACAAGCTGAACAACACTTTATCCTAAAGATGAAAAAACTTAAAGGGCACAAGATGTTCAAATATGTAAAAGGCTGCTAATAAGCATTACTCACTCTATATTACTAGGACAATACTGTAAGAAATAATGGGCCTAAATTATAGCAGAAAAGTTTCGTTTGAACATTTCCTATATTTCCTAACAGTAAGGATAGCATAGCACAGAAATGGATTGTCTGGACGAGATGGAGAATCTCTGCACTCTTTCAGACCAGATTAAAGAAATGTCTCCTCTGTAGGGTACAAGAGTTGCGCAGGTGATCATCTAAGGTCCCTTCTGTACCTTTAGCTCTGTGAAACAGGGAAGCCAAGCCAAGCTCCAAATCAGACGCTGAAGGTGACAAGACCCTAATAGGACTGTAGGAACTGGACATTGTTATGCATCCTGATTGTTTATAACACAGCCGAAGCTGGAGAGACAAGGGTAGACACTCCCTCATTGCAGTGTTGTAGGACTGAAATCCAGCTTCCTGCCAGCCTGCCACGCTGCATTTTAAAGGTTCATTTTATAGCTGTAGTACCACAATTCACCACTCGAGCCTTATCCAGCCATAAATGCAACAAATTCCATTGAAATCTATGAGTCACCAGTGCATGCAACAAGGCAGGATTGTGCTGAAATGCTCTGATGAGTCGGAGCAACCTGAAGTACTGTACTGAACAGTAGCCCAAAGGATTGACATATTCAGGTCATAATAGGCAAAATGGCAGTAAATCCTCTGCAAATGCTACCTGTGATGCATATGTATAAATACACTCTTATGTCCCATAGCACTGCTATTCCATCCCAGCAGTCGTGACGCCTTCCAGTGCTCACCTAGGGCCAGCAGCAACATTGAAGACATGCAGCTATCGGGATCTCTGGCATGGGCAACAATTCCCTGAGCTTGGCTGCTGAATCCAGGCACCTGGAGATGTCCCTCAGGAAGAGAGGTGGCTCCCTCAATGGTGCCCTTGGGTGTGGGGCCACAGCAGCACACGAGGGGGCTCCCCGTGCCTCCTGCCTGGCTCAGGGGGTCCATAGTTCTCCTCCTTTTTATGCTACTGATTCCTTCTCAGGCACTGTCTTCCTCAGGGAGGCTGGGGTGAACGTGCATCATCTCCTCATTAGGGATAAGAGAGCACCGGTAGTCATATAAGCCATATTCTTGCTTCTTCCCACAGACATTGTGTTCGCACAAGTTGATCATTATATTGTCAAACTATGGGGATTCTGGCTGGCTTCAAGGACATAAACTTGTTCTTTGGCCAGAACAACTCTTTTCCCAGTCCCTGTAGAGTCTGCAAAATGTCAGTGTTTTCATAAGACTGTGGCCTTCCCTCCCCTCTCCGCATCTTGTCATAGTCCTGCTTACAGATCTGCTGTTCTGAGATTATTATTTTTATTGAAATGGTCAGGACTGCGGCACAGCTGCACAGGAAATAAAACCAGGCTGCTTCATTCCCTCCTCATTTCCACGGCGGGGGGATGCCGTCCCCCCATAATATGCCTCTTGTCGTTCTCTCTCCTCCTCTGACACCAGGGTAGCTAAGGGGGCACCAGCTCACGTTCCCATCCTGGGTGGCTGGAGAAAAGGGCTGCAGCCTGTAGCTCTCTCGCTAGCAAAACAGTGCCTGGTGCATGTGATGGGACAGCCTGGCTAAGAGCAACGCCCAGGGGATGGAAGGGAGGCAGGAGACTGTAAAAGGATGAAATTGAAAGAGTAAAATTGTAAAAGGCAGGAGCCGCTGAGTTATAGATCAGGGAGGGGATGGCTACTCCTTGCTAAATTCAGCACTCACTTTCTAATCCTATTCCAGCCCCAATGTGCAGGACATCTTATCAGGAGAAAGCTGCCTGCATAATGGAGGGCTTTCAGGCAAAGCCAATACAAACGATAAGGGGCCAACACTACTGGGAGATTAAATGAGCTAAATATTTATAGTTTGGCTAAATGACAACCAACTGGAGATCTGATGTAAATACCAAGGAAGGAAAGAAACATTTTAAGGTGGCTTTAAGGGCAGGATTGAAACAATCTGAAATGACAGGAAACTTAAGGTAAGATTCTTTTTTTTTGCTCCATCTCCTGTGCAAGAGAGGGAGGCAGTGACCCAGCAAAGTATAGGAAGTATGCCTTGTGATAAAAAGGGTTGACAAATCTCTTTGTGCTCCTATGGGCAGTGGGGCGGGTGTCTGTATTTGGTGGACTACCCAATGACAGCTAATCCTAGGCCATGCTTCTGTGGTTTCTGCAGGTACAGACTCTGGGCAGATGCCTGCGCGGAAATGTTTGGAGGTCTTGACATCTGCGCTGTCAAAGCTGTCCACAGCAAAGATGGAAAAGACTATATCATTGAGGTGAGAGCATGGGGAACCTGAATGTAAGTCTCCTTTGGGATGTGTATCTGCAGACATGCACCTTCCAAGTTCACATGCACCAATGTGCTCGCCTACCCCTCTGTGCATGGTCCAGCAGTCACTGCTCCTCTGTGCCCACCTGCATCCTCCAAGCTGTGGCCCACTGATACACAAAAAACTGATTTAGAGTCCCAGCTAAACTGGCAGATATGCAGCAAGGTGTCAGGGTTGAAGTGCCTACATTTCTCAGTGTGGACTGTAAAAGGAAATGGACTGTTTGGTCACCCCAGCTTTCCAGTTGATAAATCCCCACAGTGCAGAACCTTACCAGCACAGGACAGATGTGAAGCTGCAAGTGTTGCTGGCAGCATCCAAAGTTTGCTGTGTGTTAGTGCACCAGTGCCCCAGTACCATTCTTCCTACGCTAAGCACTTGCAAAGTCAGCGCATGTCTCATAGCTGATAGTAGGGATCAACAGCATCATGAACAAACAGGCTCATATTCAGTCCAACTTGAATTCAGGTGCCAGACGATGCTAGCGTATTAGTCATTTTAACCTCCCGCCATTACCCACTCAGAGGTCCAGCAGGTGATTCAGTCCATTAAAAATCTCCGTTTCTCTCTGAATGAATCTGTCTTTCTCCAATCACTTTAAAGGACAATAACAAAAATCCTAGCTGCATCTAATTCAAAAGAGTAAAATAAATGGTGAGAGTGTAGCAAAAAGGTCCGTAAGTAGCAGGAACAATTTAATTAAAAAAACAAGTGTATTTTCTAGAATCTTTTGCCCAGACAGCATTCAGTACAATATCAAACCAGTAAGACAAAGCGCCATAGAGTTACTATGGGTAGTGAGGACTACAACCTTTCGTGTTCAGAGCTGGACAGAGCTTCTGAGAGCTACAGTTCAGTGCGCTCCTTGCCAGGCGAGGAGGCAAACGTGGGAGTGGGGTAAATAGCACACTCAGGTCATCCTAACAGGGCAGAGAAGGAAAAGCTGGCCGGAAAATCAAAGTGGAAATTTAAGAGATGCTCTGGGGGAGAGAAAGTCTGGCAAGTAAAGCAAGTGCTTCTGTCACTGTGTGACTCAAGGAAGCACAGCATCTGACCTGCTGTAAACTCCACCAACACAGGTCAGCTGAGGAAGATGAGCAGAGCCAGCCTATGGCTTCATGCCGGGGTGCTGACACACTGGAAAACTATGTGTGGGAGAGCAGTCCCACCCGCTGAGGGATGGGATGCTGATGAGAACCACATGAGCCCTCCAGCGACTACGCATTCAAAAAATCTCCAGGGAGCAGTGACCTGTCAAAGGCCATGTGATATAAGCGTGCTGCCAGCAACCAAACGCCTGTGAGCCTCCGTCTTTCCTGAAGTGATGGGGCCACAGCTGATGGGTCTGCTCCTCTATGCAATTCATCAGCACCTAGTGGAGCATCCGCCAGAGCAGACTGTCTCCCTGCCACACACTTTTATATCTCTATGCACATGTAGCCAAGAAAGAAAGAGCAAGAAAGCAGTCTTAGGTTAGACATTAGGAGGTATTTCTTCACAGAAAGGGTCGCTAGGAATTGGAATGGGCTGCCCAGGGAGGTGGTGGAGTCACCATCCCTGGAGGTGTTTAAGAAAAGACTGGACGTGGCACTTAGTGCCATGGTCTCGTTGACATGGTGGTGTTAGGGCGAAGGTTGGGCTCCATGATCGCAGAGGTCTCTTCCAACCTCATCTATTCTGTGATTCTGTGATTCTGTCTTGCTAGGGATGACTATAAGGACATTTGGACTGTGTCCATACATGGTCAGACGTGAGATGTGGTTTTCATATCCCTGCATCTATTCTTGCACATAAGCCTACGTACGTGCACACATGGCTAATTCTGTGCTTAAGGATTATATGCCTCTGTCTGGGTATACCTCTGGCTTTTCACATCTGCCCCCATGTGTGACTGACTGGATGGAAAGCACATCCACACACTAACAGCCATCATCAGCTTGCACACAGAGAGAAATGCACGCTAATACTCCTCTCTCTGAGACAAAGGTAAAAAGCAATGGATTAATATGACACAAATCAGAAGAAACACAACAGCTTCAGATGGGTCATGCTGAATTGTCCCAGTGGAGAACATGATTGAGCAGACCTGATGTACTAACATCTAGCAGGCATTCAGATGCCAGGCTGATGGACATTGTCGGAAAAGGAGTAGAGTAGTCCAAACAAAGAATAGAACAAAGCCAAACAGGCACCTTTTCTACTTTATGCAGATCTGAGGGAGATGCTGACAAGTAATTAATTGCCTCCAGCCTCTTCCAGGGGTACTTTTCCTGGTCTGAAACTGATCCTTTATTTTGCTTTTTTCTTTTGATAGTGGGAGAAAAAAGTTATTTGACAGTGCGACAGTTGTATTTTTCTTGGTGAGAAGGAACAGTGTGCTGTGACATTTTACAAGAAAGCATGCCTAAATGGGCTGAACAAATAGGGAATTTGCACAATGCAATTGCAGGCAGTAATTAATTTTCACAGTGCAAAGTAGTTCTCTAGGAAAGATTCGCGGATGTAGTGACAGGCAGTTCTATGAACTGAGATTTATCACACTGGTTTGTTGCAAACAGAATCGGATTAAGACAGATGAGTTATCAACACAGCACAAGAGTAATCTTGCACCCATGGTATTTGCTGTTACTTGAACTTCACCTTCTTTTCTTTTCCCATGGCAAACAGCAGAATCTAGTACGTTTCTGCCCTTTGAAGCATGAGCACACTTATGCCCCATTTTCATGGCTCATATTGAAAACTTTGAAGAAGTCAGTAGATTTCTTCAAAGTTTCATTCCATTAAAACAGCTGTGAATTCAACAGTAAATGCTGGTATTTCTTTTTCCTCTGCTTTAAAGAACTCTGTCACTTTAAGGGAATGTTTAGCATGAATAGTCAGCACTTGATCAGAAGGCCAGATCCTCAAAACAGTGCAAGTTCAGTACCACTGTTAGCAGCCAGATTCGCAAAAGAGCTCAGCAGCGTATATGGTACAATAATCTCCCCCCTCCCTTTTTTTTGGTAATCTAACCCTTTTCTACATCTCTGCTACGCTGACAAATATGGAGTGAGTAGAGGGCAAGTAAAATGATCCATGTGATTTATTCTTCCTCCTGGATCAGCTAAGCCCTACCTGCCATACAGCTAAGCTGTGTTACTAGACATGTTCCTTGCTGCCCTGCAAGAAGCCCTGCCCGTCCCTTCAGCGCTGCCATACAATTTCTTTTGATATGTCTAATCATCTGTTTCCTTACTTCCTTCCCTAAAAATCACCTAAGACTCTGCTCTCGCACATCAGAGCATAGAATAACAAGTCCAGCCTTCAGGCCTCAGCATCAGATAGATGCAGGGGGAGGACTGGGATGGGGTTTTCCTGAGTCTTTTCTCCCGGCCACTGTCTGCTCCCCAATCGTACACCTTATCAGGCAATAGCAGCTGCATCAGGAGCAGCCACTGACCTTGGGCAGCTACAAAGGCCAGGTCCCTATGTGCTCTTCTTGTCTTGCCCAGCTGTTCTGTGATCTCCCCAGGAAGAGATGAGTGCAATCTGTCTGTGATTCACGTATTCCTCTCAGCCGTTTGATTTATTTGAGCATTAGCATTCATATCTGCCCAGTTCCAGAGCGATTCCCCTTTCCCGGAGGACAGAGAAGGTGACATCTCATGCTCCTTTTCAGTTCGGTGGCAACCAGCTGTGTCATTTTGCCCACAGATATCACTGCCATTTTCAAAGACCTTCCCTGATGCATGTGATTGCTCATTCCTGTATTTGCAGTCTCGCACAGCTCACATTCCCCTGCCAGGCACTACACAGCAGGACAGCAGGTACCCTCATCCCTGGTACACTTTCACCAGTTCAGGTGGGACCTGCTCCAGGGTGCATTCCCCCTGGTGCCTTTGTTTCATAAAACAGCATCTTCCCCTTCCTCTCCAGCCACTGTTGCCACAGAAATAAGGGAAAGCAGTCCTTAAGATGGGGAACTGAGGGGTTTGGTGTGTTTAGCCCAGAGCTGTATCTCAGTTACTGACAGGCAGGGTTAGGGAGTCAGGAGCCAGGCCTGGCTGGGCAGCCTGTTAGTGGAATAATGGCATCATCTAGTGGTCAGACTGCTTTTCTCACGCGTGAACTGGAATTGCCAAATGAAATGGGAATGCTTTTAAGGTGGGAGTTGAGGGGAGGGAAACCTGCCCAGGAACCTGCTGAAGGGCCCCCAGGAGCCCTGGGCTAGGGAGACACAGGTGGGAACTGGCTGTTCCGGGACACTGCTAGGAAACATCTCCTTTCCCCACCTCATATTTTAACAGAGAAACAGCAAAGTGGACAGTGGAATGAAAAGCCACTTTGTGTATTTAGCTGCCATCTAATTTTCTAAGCTCCTCCTTTTGCCCCCTGGGTCAAGTAGGTCATGGATAGAAACACCAACTCACTCTTCATGCGAACCCCAGCTAAACTTCCTAGACAGCTTCTCTAGTGTTCGTAAGAGACACCTATAGAAATTAATCCAAATTCATATTCTGCAAGAAAAGACTAGAATACAAACTCAGTGAACTCACCTCACTGATTTCCTCTACTTTAAATCTAAAAAAAAAAAAGGGTACAAAACTTTCCATTTCACTCCAAGAATGGACTCTTGCAGTCTTGCCAGGGTGGAGTACGTTTCCGATTGTTATCGGAGCGTGAGTCAGTGCCTTTCTTGAGCAATGCAACCTTTAACTGTGCATTTCCAGGGTTTTTAATGTTTGGTTTAAAAATAAAAGCAAAATAAAATAAACTCTTCCAACCTTGATATTTTGGTACAATTATATTTACTCCAGCTGAATCTTAACTTCATCATAGTGCAGTTCTTCCTGTGGGATTTAGCTAATGTTTGCAAAGCACTTGATTTATGGTCAACTGTTGAAAATTATGTTTGGGGCTGCTATACAGCTGAGGATCTGCTGTGCTTTCATTATTATTGTTGTTGTCAGACCATTTCTTACCTCAAAGACCCTTTGACAGTTCTCCATTCCCCATCCCCACAGTCTTGCTTCCCAGCTTTCCCCAGCACAGTTGTAGTGCTTGCTTGGGAAGCAGTCGAATCACAGCAGCATCAAGAAGACAAGCGGGCAAGAAGTTTACTTTCCTGAATTGGGTGCTGCTGTTTTGGTGACATCCTGTTCTTTATTAGACATCCGTGGTGTTTATTTCCCCTCTCAGGGTGCAGTGTTTTGCGTTGATTAATCCCAAATGTTTCTGGTTTCCTCCAGTCCCTGTAGTTTTCATCTCCTCAGGCTTTGGTACATGGTGTTTCCTTTCTCCTGTGGCCCTTTCTGCTCCAATGTCACCCCCAAATACTGTGAGACAATGCAGAGAGACCTCATCCATCAGAGGCATCTCCTCAGGATATGTGAAGAAAAAAGGTTGTGTCTAGTTGATTTAGAAAGCCTCCAGCCACCAGAAGTCTTGGCTTCGCTTCCAAGTCGTGAAGGGAAGGAAGATGGGGAGTAGGGGGAAGTACATGCCATGTCCAAAAAAATGTAAGCGAAATCCCACGCCTAGGAAAGTCAAGCAAGTTTCAGCACGGAGGGGAGCGGTGACTATAGGTGTTGGCAAGAACGTGGAGACACAAAACAGGTTAATGTGAGAGGTGAGTTGAAACAGGTATCTGTCACCAGGAACCCTCCTTACTAACTGTTGTTTTTCCCTCCTGTGGCAGGTGATGGACAGCTCAATGCCCCTGATTGGGGAGCACGTGGAAGAGGACAGACAGCTTATAGCCGATCTGGTTGTTTCCAAAATGACTCAGCTTGTCATCACTGCTGGGTCTGCGCCATCACCGCTGAGGCCTTGGGTATGAGTGAATAGAGACTTTATGCACAAGTTGTTTCCTGAATTTTTTCTCCCTCTCTCCTCCCTGTGGGTGTCAGGCAGTCAGACATCTCAGAGAGCTGAACAGTCCGATATGGGAGTGTGTTGGATAGGCTGACTCCCGCCCTTCCAAAGAAGTCTCCCACAGACTCTTTGAAGTGGGTGCCCCTAAGAAACACCTCTTTCCATTCCTCTCCCTCCATATAACTGTGACATCACACCAGTAGTGTGGTCCATGCATCTAGACATTCTGGCTTGCAAAATTCATAGATTCATAGTGATGACAGCCATTTTTAGAGGTTCTTGTAACGCACAACTTGATCTCCAACTAACACCATCCCTCAGGATAAGTTTCATTCCAGTTTTTGCATCCCTGATGAAAATCTGTGCTTCCCAGAATGGAAGGTGGGAATCTCCACCAAGAGTTGTTCTATTCCTTACTGCAGCCTCTCTTTTGGGGATGCCCTTCATCCCCTTCATCAGGAGGAGGCTTGACTAACGCTGAACTCATATAAGAACCTGTCATTTTTCTGTTTAAACTGATGCCTTAGTGTTTCTCATGTACATTTAGTTTGAATATCAAATGTTTCTAATCTTAGTGCCACATTTCCCAGTGGCAGCCCTGCATAAATGAAACACACCAGAACATAATCTATGTCTCTAGGTGTATGTGCTGCCCCTCTTCCAGCATCTAGCAGGGAACCAAGCACGATGGTTTGAGGACAATAAATCTGTACAAAAGAAAGGACAGGAGAGTAAACAGGCTGAGGGATAATACTGACTGCAATACACTGGAACAGTTTCCATTTCCACTTGAGACAAAAAATGGGAGAAAGCACTTTCCAGCTCTCTGCCTTTATCATATGAGAGCCCACTCCTGCTAAACCAGGTCCCCAGAATGAGGGGTATTCAGGGTAACTCCAAGTTTTAGGTAGAGTGAGAGGGTAAACGTTTAATAGACACTAAAAATGCTTTGAGGCAGGAAAGTGACACAGAAAGGATAGGATTTACTCTGGGCAAACTGGAATCAACAACTGCCATCTGAAATAGCCAAGATACAGAGTGTATAAACCAAGAGCAGAGGTGAAGTCAACAGAAACTGAGAACATGGACAGATGCATCTGTTTTCTATGTCTGTAATATACTGGTACAGGACTGGATTGGATTACAACAGACTTAAAATAGGGCCAAAATAAGAACAAAACAAATGGTCTTGGAGAGATGGGATGTCAAATAGAAAAGTTAAATAAGAAAAGGGTCTTCATCAAGAATACAACCTACAAATATCTGTATGCAAAATCAAGAAAATTAAAACCACAAACATGTTAACTAGATTGTTTTGCTATTGAGAAAGACCTTAGTACAACAAACATTGCAGAAACTGCACAAGCTACAATTGCTAACGTAATGCTATAACACATAGTTGCAAATGTGCAGAGAGAAGTAATTACATCTGAGGCTGGTGAGATGCAGAACTAGACCTATAGGTGAAGACTTCCACAAAATGAAGAAAAATAACAGTTCTGAATACAAGGACAGCAGTACTGAATACATAGAAATATGAACCTTTCGATATCCTCTGGGTATGCATAGAATATCTGTACATATTATTGGAGCTGTCTATACTAGCCTCTGGATCAAGAAAAAATGAGACATTATGAAACTGAGCGCACACAATAGGATAAAACACCTTGACCTAGCCTTAAGAAACACTCAGGTACAAATTCGGAAAGTGAATATGTACCATTAGGTTTGGTGTCCAAGGGACAGATGTGGTATCAGAAAGTAACAGTATGACACAAGCAGTTAGAAAATAAAACTAATCAACTCCCTAGCATTAAAAGTAAAACTGTATGGACGTTATTTGAGAGACCACTGTTTTCCAGAATGCATATATACATTTCTGATCTGCTCCTGAATCAGGAATGCAAGAAATAAACTTCTAGAGTTAAGTGGCAGTGACAGACAAATTGAAGACAAACAGAAAAAAAAAAAATCTTCCAAATTTGGAAACCTGACATTTAAGAAGACATTTATGCACCATCTTGCAAGTAATAAAAGGAAATGTAAAATGGATAAAAATTTATTTTGAAGAGCAGGTAGAGGGAAGAATGAAACAAATTCTAAGAGTTCATCAGAAGGTGGAACCCTACCAAAGAACTGGTGAGCTCTATGGATCATCCAAAGTTAAGCGAGAAAAGGAAGACAACAAGGACAGTGTTGTGACTCTAGTAAATTTAATTGCTGAAAGTGGGGAACTTCCTAAACTAGATATAGTTTTTCCCAATCAGAAAGACAGGGGAGAGAACAAAAACAGTGATTAAATCAGTGATGACTGATATTTTTAAAAATTATTAAGTCCCCAGAACCAGATGGCTACATCCAATGAACTGAATTTAGGAAGTAACTAAGCTGCCAAGAAAAAATGTGCAGTTTCATTAGCAACAGTTATTGCTCCAGAGGATTGGTCTACAACAAATACAAAATATGAGTTTAAAAAGTTGTAAGACTAACGTAGAAAAGCAAGTAGATAAGTAAGTCACGGACTTTATGAACTGTCTCAGGCAATAATTTAGAGAGTAATACAGAAGACAAATAAACCAACAAAACCACAGCTTAAGAGTATCTACCACATTAATTTTTTTGCGAAGAAAAATGTCCCATTAATTTCCTTTTGATTCTTTTCCCCTCATTTCTTTGAGAATTCTTTCATAAAGTGGTAGATAACAAGCAGTCAGTCAAAATAATGTAGCTAGACTGTCAAAAAGCCTTAGGCAAGGTAACAGACAAGAGCTATTAAAGAAAGCAAGCAGGGAGGGGATAAAAGGCAAAGTTTCATTGTGGAGCAGAAGCTGGCCTCAGATAAAGACATAGATACGAGAGATGTTAATTCTTGCAAACAGTTTGCAGAGGGGATACTTAAAGGATACTAAGCCTGGTCATGTTGATAATTGGGTTGGCCAAGCCCAGGACAGGGTAAGATGTTAATGACAAACTTGTTTTCATGTCTACAACATGAAACCCGGGTTCATGGTTACAGCTGCAGTTCTGCCCTTGCTTCTCTGCCCCACCTCCATCCTTTCCCCTCACTGTTTCCCTTCCAAAGGCAGAAGACCTTGGGCTGGCCCTCACCCCTTCATCTCTGAGCCTCAAAGTCCTGTTTTGCCTTCATCTCTGAGAAGCCTTGGTTGGCTGTAGGCAAAGGCTGTAGAGATGAATATGAGATCCAAATCCCTTTCTTTGGCTGGGCTAATCAGAATGCCTCACAGCATTAGGGCAGTAAATTTCCACCAATACCAAGGCAAGGATTAGTGTCCCAAGCTATATAGGACTAGGAGCTATGAATGGAAAATTCCCAGACTTTCCTCCCCGTCCATTTGCAAGACCCAGATAAATAATGTAAAAGATGGGCTGGAAACCTCATCATATCTATGTTAGTCAGTTGAAACGTATTTCAGTGCTTCCAACTATGACACATTTCTTCCCATTTCTAGAACCACTTAGCTCATTCTCCTGACCTTCCAGGAGCCTTGAAGACCCTCTTATCATTGTGTTCTCCATGTAAATAATCCAGCACGTACCAGCCTATCTGTCTCCGGCTTCCCCTGCTTTCATAAACAATTTTGTGCAATAGGCTTACTCAGACTTTTGTTAGCTTTGGACCAGCCCTTTGTGCAACAGTTCGGTGTTGCTTAATCTGTTTATTAAAATATCTGTCAAAAAGAGTAAACAGTGAGAGAGAAGAAAGTGCAGATGGCACCAACCAGGGATGGCAGTGAAGAACATCTGACAATGTATGTATTTTAAGTCACTACAACAGCAAATGAAACTCCATATGGAAGATTGAAAGGTAAGCTAAGCTGGGGGCAGAAAGAGGGAGAACATAAACAATCTGTAGACCTTGCAAGTGGCACTAGCCATTCCCCTTGAGAAAGTCTTTGTCACATACAGGCTAATGAAAACCATTGCTCAGCCTATGGTTGTGTTGACAAGGGAGAAGCAGGAAATTAGGAAGCAGGAGAAATGAGCTGGTGATGTATACAGAGAACCTAGATACTGCTTCATCTGGAATAATGTAAGCAGACCTGCCTCTGGCATCTGCAGAAGGAATCACAAAGCTGGGAAAGAGAAGTGGGTGATGAAAACAATTAGAGGGCTGGAAACATTCCCATGGATGGACCAAAGGGATTCAGTCTTGGCTTTAGAAAGGAGGCGAATTAGAGAGAGGGCAGTAAAGGTTTGCAAAATAATGAACGGCCTAGCAAGGGCAGGTTGTGAGAACTACTCTCAAAACTCAGAGCAAACCAATGTAGTTAAGAAACGGGAAAGGCAGTGAGGCTGAGAGCTGAGCAAGACTCAAAGGCTCTGGGTGTAGATAAACAAAACAAAATATCTGGAACTGTTGCAAAGATTTTGTGGAGTAGATAATAAGGTTCATGTTTCAGAGTTGAAACTGGCCCTTGCTTATTAGCAATTGAGAGAAGACCCCTTAGGGTAAAGAAATGATTACTCCATTCATGTTTCCATGGTTCATCCCTCCTTCCTTTGGAACATCTGGTGCTGGCAACTGTCCAAAATGGGAGATGGGACTAAGAGACCCCCTCAGGCCTGACACATTTGGTAATTCCTGATTGCCTAAAAAACATTCTGAACTGTAACTTCATTGTTATTCCCTGTGAGCAAACACTTCTGTGCTCTTTATTACTCAGCTCTCCATTTTAGTCCCATGAGATTTTACCCAGATGCTGTATGTGTATGTGTGTGTGTGTGTATTTAAGGAACACTTAACGAGACTGCAGTTCCTGTATTACCTCAGGGCTTCTCCCTGGGGACTCTGCATTAACTGGAATGGTTTTATTTTTTCCTCTAGCCTACACAAGTTCAGCCTGCATCAATGAAATCTCAGACTGGACCTCAGCTTGGACAACTGTCCCAACCACGGCCTCCTCCCCAAGGTACAGGTCTTTGGGTCCCATGACAGTGTGGACTGTAAGACCTATCAGTTTGCCTTCTAAATACAAGCTATCAAGATAAAGGTTTCACTCATTGTTCCAATTCACTGACAAGCAGGCAGCAAATTCAGTGTGCTGTTAAAGCTGCTGCTGTCGTAGTCCACAGCAGCTCAGAAAGTGGAATGAAAATTTGATATAGATCCAGTTAATACTGCTGGTGGGACCTGGCTTAGAAAAATGAGGCCACTTGCACAGACAATTTTGGGCACAGAGCGTATTTGTGTTTGCACAAAGCTGTAGTGGCTACAAGTGCAAGAAGTGATGGGAATATGCTAGTGCTGTCAGGCCTGGAACAGACACCAAAGTGGTGATGCCAGGATCCCTGATCCATCTGTCCGGGTGTTCCCCTGTCAGGCAGAGCACACCCCCAGCTCCTCCTGACAGAAGCAGCAGCTTTGACTCATGTGGCTTGGTCAGAACAACAGCTTTGATTTATTGTCCTGATTTACGCTGAGGTGATGAAGCACAGGGCTGCCCCGTGGGTACCCAGGCCACACCAACCACTCAATTCACATAACCAGTGAGACCCTCCTTTTGCCATCTTTGTCCCTTCCTTTCTCCACTCCAATCTCCTACCAAATTAACACCCACCTCTAATTGCCTTTTCCTCATCGGTCACAGTTTTGCTGTATCCAAAATTCAGTATTTCTGATACCAAATGCATCTATGTAATCTTGGTGTTATATGGTATTACTGATATGAGTTGCTGGTCTTACAGGATACTACTCCCCATCTGTGTCCAGTACTCCCCTTCAATTCTCTGCAAAGTTCTTTCTCACATAACTCCCCCTTGACCACCTGTGAAATCATCACAAAGCTCCCTGTAACTTTTGTTAGCTTCTCACACTGTTATCTGTCATGTCCAGCAATTTCTCATGTCACATCCAATTGTTTTCCACATCCTCTTCAGCTGTGAGACTCAGCTACCAATACGGCTGAAGCCACCTGCTGATAATGCTGGAAGAGATGTATGGATAGGGATAGGGTGCACAGTCTTACCTCCAACTGCTGGGCCCATGAAGGGACTGCTGACCCAAACCAGCAGATTCAGCTTTCATTGCCTGCAGAGAGCTGCTTCTGCACTGACTCCCTTCCCAGTGCAGGAAGCGCTTGCCAAGGATAGGAAATACTAGTCACATGGAAGAGTACAGCACATTGAAGTGACTCCCTTTGGGGAGAGTGGCAGAGCTTCTTTAGCGCTGAAGGAGGCAGAGAAATGGACAACTCCCCTACAGATGAGGGCATGACACCCGTTTTAGGCCTATATGAGAGGTTTTCCCCTATCCTTCTGCATGAAGTTACTCTGAAGAGTCTCTTGCCTTAACATAACCCATTCTTCCATATAGATGCTCCTTGCTTCTTGTCCACCACATGCACTTCCTCATGTTTATGTCTACATGTCCCTTTCAGGCGGACCACACCAGCCTCAGGGATCTCAGCCCCCACGGACAAACGCACCTCCGCAGCAACGGCTGTCTCCTCAAGGACAGCAGCCCCAGAGTCCCCAGTCCACTTCACCTCAGCAGCAAAGGTCACCTGGATCTCCAAAGCAAGTCCGATCAGCAACTGGGTCCTCTCCAGTCCAGGCTCCCAAGGCAGGAATGTTCCCTCCACAGCAGCCTAGACCTCCTGCTCAAGGCCGGGCTCCTAGCCAGCCAAGTCCCACTGAAACGTCCAAGCAGCAAGCCACCCCACACCCGCATCTGAAGTAGGTGCTCTGTTAATCTGCTGATATCTATAGATATTAGAATAAGGCTGTCAGAAAAGTACCCTGAGCTAGCATGAAGAACATATCACCTGTTGGCAGGCAGTAGTCCCCAGGGACAAAGGCCTGGACAACTGTGAGTGACTTCCGAGGTATATATGCCCAGGTCTAACAGGCCACCATTGACCTGTTGTCAGGAAGAACAAGTTGTTCATCCCTAAGATTTCACATTCTTCCTCTTGTTTGTGTGCTCATTGTTAATCGTGTGTTCTACCCTGGCCACATCAACACAGCTACTACCTTCCCAGCAGGGTATATACTCCTTACAGCCTGTAATCAGCACATTATTGGCCAGAAAGCTCAACAAGAGTCATTTCTTCACTATTCCCTGAATGCAGGAGCCACACAAGGCTCTTTACCAGGCAATTTTTTTCAACTGGTAGCAAAAAGGCAGGGAAGGGTGGGTAGGAGGAAGTAGAAGTGGCACTGCTCATATATATAAAACTCCAGATGATGACTGTATGTTTGTTTAACCACTCTTCTGGAGCAGAGCACACCACTGAATTATTGTGGATCTTTGGTAGCAGCCTTTACTGCCACCCTTCATGGAGCATATCTGGCTGGCACCATGGAGGAAAGATTGGCAAAAAAATGTTTGGTGCTGACAAAAAGTTGGCACAAGAGCAAATTGGGATGAATAGGCCAGAACAAAATAGATGCTAGAAATGAGAAGACAGTTTCTAGGCAGCAGAGGAGTGATGTTTTGGAACAGGCTTTCAGTGATGATGTCTACATTAGCAAGGTAAACCAATATACTTAAGGATCAAAATGTTGGTGCTAAGGATGCAGTCGTCACACTATACATATTTCAGGTACTTTATTTCAGAGTCTGGTCTTGTGCTGAATGCCTATCGCTGATCAGGAGAAACCACTTAGTGACAAAGCCTGGAAGCAGGGAAAATTGGGAGATTTACTTCAAAAGCACGGTCCTGATCAGAACTGAAACACTAGCAGATACTCAGTAGGAGCAGTGTGGCCAACCAAAAGACCTGCATAACACAGCTGACAGTCAGAGCGAACATGCCAGGGAGGGTAGACAACAGCACACATTGCAGGGCACATGGCTACCAACTTGCCGAACCTCTCATGCTCTCACATCTGAAAGGACAGGACCATCATTTATGGTACGGCTGATGAGAGACAGGTGACCCTCAGCATGAATCCATTCTTCTGTATTAGCAGTGAAATGACTTAACTGTTCCTCACAACACTTGCATCCAATGGCAATTGCATACTTTTAGTCAGATGTTTTCATAAACACTTAGTAGTCTGGACTCTGATATTGGAGCCACCTGACTGTGTCCCATCCTCTTCCACTCCCCCTACTCCTCCCCTATTCCTGTATGTCTTGGCATACGGAGATTCTCCTTGCTAACCTCTCCTTTTATCCTTGAATTTGTCAGTGTGATGGAACACAAAGCATCAGTAACCAGCTTTGAACTACCGCCTTCTCCTGGTGAGTCTGAACTCTCTTTTCCATTTCAGCAAATCGCAGTCCCTGACAAACACCTTCAGCATATCTGAATCATCTCAGCGGGGAAACGCCAATGAAGACGAAGCAAAAGCTGAGACCATCCGCAACCTGAGGAAATCATTCGCTAGCCTGTTTTCCGATTAACAGCCCTTCAGCTGGATCTGTGCTTTTGTCAGCCCTCACTCTTCATATCAGCGTACCTGATGTCATCCTGGAATACACTCAATGGTACCCGGTGATTTACAACTAACACTTGGGTAAAGGGAATCTAGAAAACCATAGTTGTTTTAATACAAAGAAAATATTCTAATAACGGTCTGAAAAGTGACTGTATAAAAGTGGCACTATTTCATTGGTTTTTGTGCATAATCAGAATCCCATCTGTTCAAATGACTGAGTTGTAAAGCAAATTTTACTCTTGCTAACCCCTGTGGAGTCAACAGTTATGACAGTGCAAACTAGATTTTATTTTGATTTGTATATAGTCAGTACAATTGCTAACTTCCAATTATTGAGTCCTTGTTGAGGTCGAGCTAAAAAAAAAAATATAGCCTTATTTCAGAAACAGATGTGCAAAGACAGAGTCAAGAATAAGTAATCATTGACTGATAAAGTGAGCATGCTTGACCATGAAATCACAGTGAACTGTGGAACTTCATGATACCAACCTTACTAAAAGTCACTTTTCAGAGCAAACCTACATTCAAGTTAAATACGGTACCAGGCATCAGTAAGCGCCAAAGATCACATGAGCAGGTCATCCAGATGGACTGCTGGTTTGTTCCAGATCACTCTGCTCATAGCATATAAAATGTCTCTGTTTCATGCCTTGCATTTCTGTCCCCTGCACGTGATTCCTGAGTTCTGAGAAAAAAGTGTCATGTTCTAACCCTCTAGCCTTAGCTCAAAAAATAACCTGAGAAATGGGCCTTCCACACAAAAAACAACTTCTTCCCCTGCCCCTGGAAACACCAGAGTTAATGTTCACAGTTCACACATATTCCAGACAAAAACCAGCTAAACTCCAAGCACTTTGGTGACTTGGTCACACCTGGCTAAGTATGTCCCCCAGGAACATGCTTAAATAATAGCAGAGCTGATGAAGTGCACAAACTTGTGTGCTGAGTGTTCCATAATACCAAACGGACAGAGAGATGGAGTGAGAGCCTGTCTCCCTCCTTGAACTCCCATCGACTTCACTGGGGTGAGTGCAAAACGAATGCAAGGTGACAAACCTGCAACGGAACAGGAAATCTATCCTTTACAATTCAGGTGAGCTGGGGTCCATCCAGAGACACCAGGCCATGAGAGGGCATGTACGGGATTGCCCCAAGCAGGTAATGATCAGTATTAGTCCTCCCCAACCACCCCCAAGAATTATTCTTCCAGAGAAGACAGAGACAGATCTTTACCAGGTGTGCTTTCCCTCTAAATCTGGAACACAGAATGAAGCTGTCTATGAGCACAGCTACAAGAACTGGGACGTGGCAAAAACCAGGAATGACACAAGCTACATTCACAACTGAAAAAACCACCCTGGGTAAACCAATGTATCTATGACTATTTCTGCCAGCTAAGAACCCACTCCTTGCACCGTGCTAGGTATAATTACAACACACCTAGTACAGGCGCAAGTCCCCATCCCACCTCCTCGATTTTTCTTCAAGTTTTGTCAAGTACTTTAGTTGCAAACTGTGCATACAGCTTCAAGGCCAGACTTTCGGCTTTGTACTTCCCTTGGCAACTTCACCTTGATGACACTTAGGAATGCCCAGGGAAACAGGGAGGTCAGTAAGTTAAAAACATTTGAGCCAATGGCACAGATCTTTGCTGTCACTTAAACAAGGAGATCCCCAAAGCAACAAAAGCAATAGCAGCATTTGCCATCTTGGATCTTACAATGCACTGGTGGGAATGAAGCCAAACAAGGAATTCCATCCTGCATAGCACCTGTCATGAACATCTAAATCCAATGCAGTCATCTAGACCTTGTATGACCTACCCCTAAGCAGGCCTTTACACATATAATGGCTTTTGCGACCTCTGCACTTTCAGGCAACTAACAGCATTGCTTTTCCAGGTTGGAAGGCTCTCAAGACTCATCTGGACCAATGATTTATACCTCAAGTTCAGTATTATAGAACCACCCTACTCCCTCATGATTTATCTCCCCCTGCCCCAGTTCTGTGTTGTCCTTCCAGGTTTGCTAAGCGGTTTACAATGTTGCATCATAAATACATGTCATTGTTTGAGAAAAAAAACAGACCCTGCTGTTTCAGAGTCTCCAGGAGCAATAAAAGAGCGACAAATGGCCTTGAGCAAGCACTGTCCCATTGCCAAGAACAATAGCAGATTAACAGGCCCCACTAATATGGAGAGGAGGTAATACAACCCTGGTGGGAGAGGATTTCCTTCTGTAATGCTTCCTTCAGCATGCTTTATGCCT